ACTTGTGGTGCTTTTAAGTTGGAATAGAGGTTGGGTTATGGACAGGTTTGGTGGCATGGGTAGGTTTAAGGGTAGGTTATGGTGTAAGGGATGGTCAACAGTGTATTTACAAACGTAATTACAAGAGGTAATTACAGATGTAATTACATACATGTATTTAATCAAGCATAAGTACACAGTAAATACATGTGTTTACACAATAAGTACATTGTAACAAACTATTATTTCCTATGTAAGTACATATTAATTAAGGCCACCTAATATAAAGTGGGACCATATATATATATATATATATATATATATATATATATATATATATATATATATATACCCAATAATAATACCCAATAATTCTGATTGCAACTGTAAATGTTCTTTTAAAGTTGCAAGTTATTTTTACAGTTTTTTTTTTTTTTTGCTTTTTATGTGTTGTGATGTAAATTCATTTTTAGATGTGCATGTGTAGTGGTAACTTGTTTACAACTCATTTTTAGAGTGTGAGTGAAATGGAAAAGTCACTTGTATTCATTTTCAACTGTATGCATTTTTCCATACAGCCTGACATTCCTGTACGTGATTATCTGGTCCTTGTCCCCCATCCTAAAGGTTTACTTTGAAAGGCCGTCTAATATACGATGTGTAGGGGGCTTGGGTAACAGCTATGGTTGTCAGATATATGCTGAGAAAGGGGCATATGTCAGAAACAGTAGAAACACCTGATGCAGTACAGAATGGGCCAAATTAGAATTGACCTCATAAGCAGTACAAACCAGATAAAAGAGTGAGCCCACTCTGTTTCCGTGTCTCACTCTACAGAAACTGTTGTTGCTTTATGATTTTGACCTTTGAAAAGACATCCCAGTTAAGACTTTGTTTCTTTACCACAGAGAAAACCTCTTTAAAGAAAATTGCCACTACAGTGTACTATTTGTAATTTTATTACAGTAAATTACCTACTAATTTTTCTTTTATGAACAACTGGACTGAAACAGAACGCCTTTGGAAAGTATTTAATCTAATGCCCAGTAGAATATGAGGAGGCAAAATATTTTTTATTGTTCATGCAGTATTTTTGTATTTGAATCATATTTACACTATTAAACATCCTATTGTACACAGCTTTGAAAGGTTGAATAAAAGGTTTACACAAAAAAACAGCATTGATACAATTAAATAGTTTAGCAAACAGAAAATATTTTATAATTCATCGTCTGACCGCAACTCCTGCATACACCACCTCTTGCTCCTCATTCATTTTCTGTAATAAAACACACAGATGTCCAAATCATATATGCATACAATTATTTTAGCACAAAATTCCTTTGAATCCTTTGTGTTTTTAGAGTTTCTTAAGAAGATAATTCACTCAAAATGAAAAACAGATTCTAATTTAATCACCCTCCAGCTATCCAGGATGTAGATGACTCCTTCCTTTAGTACGTCATTAAAGAATATGCAGTGATTTGGACAGTGTGCCAGATATAGCTGATTTTTCCAGCCCAAATGCTGTCCAAAACTCGCAAAATGCAGAGAAAACCGCCCCAAAATATTAGACTAATATTTTATTTAATTTTAATTTATTTAAATCGAAATTAACCTAGTTTCTTTATCTGTCATATTGTTTAACCATACAGCAACCAACACCAGCAGTCACAGAACGACAACATAACCGGATCACATCGAAACACTGCCCCCTTCTCACCCACACACTGCACTGTGAGGCCAACCTCACACTAAGTACAGTTGCCTCGAACCGGGCCAAAGCACGCTTGCCCCCCCTCCCGCCTCCCCTGACGGCCCGCACTCACACCACAATCGGGCCTCGGCACGCTTACGTCATTGCTGCTGCGCTGTTTAGTGGGAAGCGCTCCTACTCAGCCGCACAGAGGAGATTTCTCTAGTTATATCGTATCAGTCGTTTGATATGCAGTGACATGCAGTCAGATATTTTGCCGAACAGTCCTTTGGGATGCGGTGACACGCAGTCAGATATTTCGCCGAACAGATCCGCCACTTTTGGCGCTCATAAGCAATCATAAAGTCCTCGTTCTGCAGGAATGAGGAGGTCTGCTGAAGGTGCGCAGCTGTCCTGCAGTGAGTGGTTTGCGTCTTTAATAAACTACGGCAGTTTGCGTTCACTGAACAGTAAGAATGATTAATTAATCCATATGAAACATCCCCTTAAAAGTCACGTCTCGCTTTCAGTTTTGGGCTTTAGTGCGTTTTGCACTCACATACAAGCGTACCGTGCCAAAGCCCAAGTGAACCGCGCTCAGGCCCACCTCTTCCAACCGGGCCAGGGCCGGCCAAGTGAACCGTGCTTGAGTCCGATTCAGCGCACTCACACTTCTCAAACGATCCGGGAAACGGGCCTGGCCACGGTACGGTTAGCATAGTGTGAGTAGGCCCTAAATGTGGTCCCATTTGCACTATGCACTGGTCCCTACTAACTGAATGAAGTAGGAGCATGCAGTTATGTTTTGTTGAGTATGTTGCATGTAGTTGCATATAAAATTTACGTTTCAAAACAACCAAATTTTGTCAACCAAATCTTTTATTGCAGCCAGCCTAAGGCACACCTGTGCAATAATCATATGCTGTCTAATCAGCAGCTTGTTGTCCACCCTGTGAGATGAATGGATATTCTCAGCAAAAGAATCATCAAGCCGACACCAAACAGCACCAACAAAACCCAACTGTGTGGTTACGTCACATTGGATCCCATCTGGACCAAAAAGCTGCATGTGAACACAACAAATGGAAAAAAGCCAACTGCAACAAGAGTCGTGTTCTGTGCCTGCGAGGAGCTGTTTAGTCTGTTTAGTAGCGAATTTGCTCCAAAATATTTGCAAAGTGTAACTAACACATTATATGAGCTATTAGATATACATTTGTCATTAACATGCACATACACAATCTCTTCCATACATTCAAAACCCTTTAAAGGGGTTGTATGTATGTTTTGATTAGTTTAAAGAAATATAAACTACTTCTAAAATACAAATTTCAAACGATGGTTAGCATTAAAAATTCATTTTAACATCCTTTTTAAAAGGATAATTTTATTGTGTGTCACCGTGTGTAATTAGGATATGGTTTAGGCTTGACAGTCAGGCACGACTGTCGACAATCTGGCAACTGCATTCGCATAGAGTCATCGATGAAGGGGCCTGGTGAAAAAAAGTGTTTTGAATTTAGACTGCAATACCTAGTTCAACCACTTGGTGTCAATCTTACATATTGCACCTTTTACACACGGCAATCGGTTGATTATCCCTTACTAATATTGTAAACAATATTCAATTTCTTGCACAATGTTGTCAGTGTGCTGCCAGGAGCCACTGGTACTGATATGGACTTATTTGTAAGTTTATTGTAAATCTAAAATAAAATAATCATTGACTCACGTTATACTAATCACCAATGATCACGGATTCAGCTAAAAATGTTCTTTAATAATTTACTGAGGAAAAAAGTCAACTGAAAGCCTGGAAGACAATTGATCGATTCATCTATCAAATCCTCAGATTTGTGTCATTTGACTACAGCATGACAGCAGTGTTGAATACACAATTCTGAATACAACTCAAGACATAATCTGTGTTATTGGACCAGCAAAGACCCCACGATTTTGGTTAATGGAGATGTGACATGGATTAATCTTTACTTCATGGGTGTGCAAACTCAGTCCTGGAGGGCCGGTTTTCTGGAGAGTTTATCTCCAACTAGCTTCAATCAACACTCCTGCCAGGAAGTTTCTAGTATATCTAGTAAGAGCTCAATTAGCTGGTTCAGGTGTGTTTGATTAGGACACCGGCCCTCCTGGACTGAGTTTGGACACCCCTGCTTTACTGTTTCTTATAATCTGGCCATGGCAGCATTATTAGTTTCAATTTTATTAGGATGCCAGAGTTTGCATGTGCTGTGAATTATATGTCAGGGCTTTTTGTTGTGTTATGATCTATAACAGCAGGTACATTTACTATTGTAAACATAGCAGAATTATCAAAATTATACTGGGATCATCTTTACTGACTTTTGGGATCAAATCAGTACTGAAATTGTAAAACAAAAAAGACCACTTGCATTTTGTTGATGTTGAGCGAGTTCTTAAAAACCTCTGACTGGCCAGTGTGTTCTTACTGTTATTGGCTAAAATAGATCATCATCACTTTCTTCACAGAGTGGAGAAACACAGGAGAGTCTGAAATCTGCATCTATCAGCTGATATATGAGCAGCTGATAGATGCAGCGTTCAAAATCTTCTGTGTCCATTTGTCTGTGCAAGCGTTCTGTGTAGAGAATCAAGTGATGATCATTGGAGCCAATCACAGTCATATTTGTTGAACATGTGAACACACTGGCCAATCAGTGATGTTCAAGAACCCCACTGAGTGCAGAATGTAGCAGGAAATGCTGGTATTTTCAAAGAAAAATTCAGGGGGCTGTCAAAATGGTAATTAAAAAAAATGCAGGTGGGGAGAGAGTTAAAAAAAATTGATATGATGCTTTTGTGTGTGATTTCTAAACCTGCTTTATTGCAGGAAGTAAGATTGAGATATAATACAGATACAGATGTAATACAACATAAATGAACTTACTGGTTTTGGTTGTTTTCTTTTGGAGAAATTTAGAGCAATGTAAGTGACCTCTTCTGTAGTTTCCTGATCTGTTTAAACAATAATAACAGACATATTAAAGCAACTTATACTTTGGGGCTGTTGAATGCTTAATGCTTGATTCTGGTTCTTCAGCAACAACTCAGAACATGAGTGTGATGTAGTGACAAGTAACAAGTAAACAACTCAAATCAAGAAGGAACACAAAGATTTTTGGTCCAGACATGAGCAGACACGAGGCAACAAACAGTTAGGTTTCATCTGTGCTATTGATTGCCATTGGCTTGGTGGGTCCCAACCCATGCTGTTATTTTTATATAAACACACAGCTAAAGTAGTTCCAGGCAGGCTTTGAGAGCATTACTGCTCCATTTTACTATGCTGAATAATTTCAGATATTTTACACCTAAAACTGTCAAAAATCAGTCAACAGAAGAAATTGGATCAGATTTGTAAGGATCAAGTCCAGCACGCAGGACCAAAACCTGACAAATGTCAGAAATACAACATCTAAACCATAGTATAAGCTGAATAACTGACTTTGATCCACATCAACAATTATGTATTCTTATCAAGTAATTCAATGGCCTATCATCAGTTATTATTACAAAACTTGTTGTGTTAAAATACATCCTTTTGTTAGTGGCTACATTTGGATATTTTTCTGTTCATTTCAACAACACGTTATGAACAAACTCATGTGACTAGTCCTGAACAGCTTTAGCTGTGTGAATGTAATCAGAGGGTGAACTGGGACTGGTGTGTGAGTGAAGTACATGATGGGATATGTAGTTTAGTTGAATGTGAGTGTTCTGGTGATCCTAACAGTGAAGAGTTTTATTAGGGCAGAGGGTGGAGTTTTAATTTAATGCTCCTCCTCACAACTAATTGTTAAGGACAAGCCAAAGTTATCAAAGAAGGAACTTCTGTGGATTCACATCCAAGGATTATCTGTTTACATTAAGAAGAGAAAACTAAACTTTTTCAATTTTGATTTTGTGTGGACTTTATTGACACCAATATTTTGGGTTTTAAGCACTTGCCTTCTTGACTGATTTTTTTGCGTTTCTTGCAGATGCAGATCAACCAAATTGCAGCTATGATAAACAGAAGTCCAGCCGCAACACAGATCAGCTGTATGTATAATGGTTTTAATTCTGCAACAGACAAAACATTTAATTAAAACCAAACACCTTTTTAATCAAAATGTTGGCCTAATACTGTACTGAGAAAAAGAGAATGCAATATTTGAGATATTTGTGAGGATTTCATAAATTCATACCTGAACATGGATGGCAGAGATCAAAGTTGAGATGTTCAGTTCTGTTGGTGAACGAATTATCAATAACACAGCTGTAGGATTCATTCAGATGGTCAATCTCCAGAGGTAGAGAGATGCTGCTGCTGAGATTAGACACACTGATGCTGGATAATAAACTGTTTCCTTTGTACCAGGAGAGACTCACAGCGCTCACATTCACCACTGAACACAGCAGCACACATCTGGGCACTTCTGAATGTTCAGATATAGATGAAGATGAATTTTGTGGGCAAGTTCTGATAATGACTGGAGCAGGTAGACGAGCTGAAAAACATGGAAAATAATTATAAAGTGTGCTTTTTTTAAGTGCTTTTTGTGACCGATTAAGCAATTACAAAGAAAATCAAATACAGAACAGGAAAATAAATAAACATAAATTAAAATAAAACAAAAGCCAATATAAAAAATAACTGGTATGTACAGTTATATGACTGGCCTAGTAACGCTGGTTATCTTTTTATAATGTGTGTCCCTGAAAATACCCAAATATTCAGGATTCAAAGATTGAACTATTATTGATTTATATTCATTCAGGTGAAATATTAAGCTAAAACATGCATAAATATGACTCAATATTGACTCAGAGGAAAATAACAGTATTACTGTGTACAAAAAGAGCTGTGGCCATGAGGTCTAAAGCTCAAATCAAAATGGATGACAGTCGACGGGGAAAAAAAATCCAAACCACAGGTTGAAAAAGTTTGCTTTGTCATTGTCACGATCACAAGCGATTCAGGCTTGCAGATCGCTGGTAAACACAGACCTTCACCCGGACTACGATTCTGTCACTTTATGAACTACATTTCACCTCATGCAACTCACACACACACCTGTTCCTGTTCTCTGATGATTACACACACAAACATGGCTGACAGCTAATCAAGGGCTTATTACACAGACTATTTAAACATCATATCGGTCGGTCAGTCAGTCAGTCAGTCAGTCGACCGCGGCCTCTGGTAAATTTATGCGTGAAGAGCAGGCGCGAGTGATAGTCGCGGAAGAAATTTTAGATCTGAAAAAGCACACACAAAAGACCTCTGGTAAATTTGCGAAAAAAAATCTGCAAACAAAACATACTTCTTGTGATGTATTTCATGCTGTCCAGAAATGTATGCAGGGGTGCGAATCAAAAATGAGCCAGGGTTGATACTTTTACTATTACTATTGTACTTTTAATCATTGTTCATATATGCATTTTTTTAAATATCTGTATCAAAGTATTTATATTTTTGAAAAGTTTTACTTCATGGTATTATGCCACAACTTTAGGAAAAAAAGGTTCATGTGATTTTGAACCTGAGATATTATCACCAGATCTGAGATGCAAGAGCAAAACATTGAGAAAGCTTATTCTATTTTTGCTTAACGTGTTAAGTCGGTTTAAAAATCACTCTATATGATTTGTTTCTGAACTTGACTAATACAATTGGAACATTCACGTTTTCGTTCTTGGTTCCCTAGTTTAGACCAGTGGCTTAAGCCGGCCTAAAACAAACAAACAAAACATATGCTTATGAACAACTTTAATTGTTTTAAAATTGTACATTTAACATAGACAAGTGATGCAAAATTTTATCAACGTCAGACAATTAATTTGAAACAAAATTGCTAATTAATTACCAAGTATTAAATAATTTGACCATACTTTAAAACTGACTTTTCAAGCTCTTGTTTGATATTTATTGATATTTCACAAATCAACAAGCAGTGATATCACAAATACGATTCATTTGGTCAACAGCATTCCAATTAATAAAACTACATTTTGATACTAAACCCAATAACCATTAGAGAGAGTTTATATTAAGCAGACTTTGTTAAAGTCAAGAGTAATTCAATTAATCAAGAAGTTGAATTGAACGAAGAGTTAAAGTACACTAAAATAATTTATGTAAACATTCAGAGTAAGATAGAGGAGATGCACCCCAAAAATGATTCTGAAGATGTGATTCCAACAGTTTCAGACTGTAGACTAAAACACAAACCTTCTTTGTCTCCTTTTCTACATTAAGGCATACAAAATGTATGTATTCAGGGACATGTGTCCAAAAGTACACATTACCTTGAATATAAGCTGGTTCTAGGAAAAATAATATGCAGATGTACAGTAAGCAGTTTTAGCATAGGTGTTTTTCTTTTAAGAGAAGCTAGATGCTTTTTTTTCCTTTTTACGTTTTGACGTAACCACAAAAAAAAAAAAAACTCTTCTAAGATCATTTAAAATACATATTGAGCCAAAAGAAACAGAGGTTTATCTGAAGAACATACGACTAGAAAAAAATGCCAGGTTTATGAATGGGTGCAAAAAGCTCAAGGGTCAGGCAAACACAAAATACTAACTAATGCATAAGAGTCAAAAGCATGTCAGAAACCTTTTAATATATGACAAGATTTAATTAATAATACTCTACATACATCGCCCAATCACTACATATATTTAAATGTAAAAAATTAGACTCATCAACAAACTTACAATAGACGATAACACTGAAATTCTTGACTTGGTCCTCTTGTCCTCCTTTGATACTCAGTACATAAAGTCCAGAGTCTGAGGTTTTGCTGTCACTGATGGTCAGAGCTCCAGTCTGATCTAGATGTAATCTGCCTTCAAATCTCTCATTAGAGACATCATAATTTACTGAGATGTGATTTCCATCTTTGAGAGCTATGAGAGCGCCTTCTGCTCCAAATGTATACAGCAATTTATTTTTCTGTATATCAGTAAGCACAGGGTTCAAAGTGATTGAATCTCCCTCCATCACTGACACTAACATCACCTCCCGTCCATCAGCAGCAGCCATACCTGAAGACAGAAAGTTACTTAGTTGTGTCTGAAATCACTTCCAATATCCTTTTGTGCACTAAATTAAATATTAATGTTTTGTAGTGCGTTGTGGAAACAGTGATGGATTGGGGCTGGAAAGGCATCCGCTACATAAAACATGCTGGATAAGTTGGCAGTTCATTCCGCTTTGGTGACAACTGATCAATAAAGGGACTTAGACGAAAAGAAAATGAATGGTTGGAAACACTTTAGGGCTGAATTTCAGCAAACAAACTTTCCAATGTTCAACTTAATATTTTAGTTTAAACTCAGTCATAAAAAACACTTTAAAGTAAATCTGTACCATTTTTTTTAGTAAAGTATCTGCATATATCTGACTCAAGTTAACCTGCAGGTTAAGAGCACTTGGTGATCACACTCACAAATTGCGCACTCTCGGGCGTATGTATTTCAACTTCATTCATTCATTTTCTTGTTGGCTTAGTCCCTTTATTAACCCAGGGTCGCCACAGTGGAATAAACCGCCAACTTTTTCAGCACAGGTATTATGCAGCGGATGCCCTTTCCATCTCTGGGAAACATACACACACACACACACACTCTTTCACTACAGACAATTTAGATTACCCAATTCACCTGCATGTCTGGACTGTGGGGGGACACCAACTGACCCAGCCGAGGATCGAACCAGCGACCTTTATGCTGTGAGGCGACAGCGCTACCTTTTTGAGATTTCACTATTCGGTACCTCCGTGGTCCCGTTATCAACCGAGTTATAAAAACACGTTTTGATTAATTATAAGCAAAAAAAAGGCGAAATATCTAGTGCTTCTCATGTCATGATTACCAGCGCCCTGACAGTTTGTGACTGGCCGAATGGAAGCCCTCATCCGTAAAAACGCATCGTTTATAGGTATAGGCTATTTTATTACTGAAAAAGCCACTTACCAAGCAGAAGCAACGAGTGGAGCAATATAGATAAGAAAATCATTTTCTTCGAATCTTCGTCGACGTCTAATGTTATAGTTTTAGAAGTGAACACTGTTGAACACAACTCACAGTGAGAGAGTAAACTCCCCGTTCACGCAAAGCCTCATGTCGAGAGCTAAAACCAGGAAACAAGCATGAATTTAATTGTAAAAAAAAAGGTAAATCTTGACTTTTTTTTGGCAAAACAATTTTAGTTTCCTCCTGAAACGATGTCTTTATTTAACTAGTTTACACCTTCTGACATCTGTATGTTTAATGCATTTTGTGCTTTTGCCATGTGGGTCATGTCTTTACTGGATTCAGTTAACACAAAAAGGAAATACATCTCCTCAATTCCAGTTTATATTGATTTCATGGCGTTTTCTTGCTTTTAAGTCTTTTATCTGTCAAAAATTGATTAAACTTTGTGTTTAGGGATCTCACTAAAAGGATAGTTCACCCCATGATGATCACAATTAAATCACTTCACTTGTCACAAACTTGACCGTTTCCATCTTAAAAATATATTTTAAACAAATGCTGGAAACCTGTAACCATTGACTCCAATTGTATTTGTTTTTTCTATGGAGTTTCTAAACATTGTTCAAAATGTCCCCTTTCAGTGTAAAACAATATATAAACTCAAAGGTATGGAACCACTTCGTCACCTTAGAATTATAAGGTTCTATCTGACATTTTTTGTCAAAATTGAGTTATTGACATATTCTTATTAAATGAGAGCTTATTTACATTACCAAAGTGGTGTAAAAAAGTAAAGTCAATTTTGATTTATTGAGGCCAGACCTCCAGAAGTTTGTAACTAAGGAAACGCTGGCAAAGTTGTGGATCCACGTGCAGCACTTTATTCAAAAGAGAATGGTTAGGCAGGCAATGGTCAACACAGAAGCAAAACCGAATTCCGAATTCGTAGTTTAAACAGGTAAATAGTCAGGCTAGGCAACAGAGAATCAAGACACTAAAAACAAGTCAAGGATTAATACACAGAAAGCCTAGGCTGGATAATATGCTTAGAATTGCTACCTGTAACAAGACTCAGCAATGAGAGTGTCAATCTGAGCAGTTTATATAAGCTGCGTCCCAAATAGCACATTATACACTATGTACTTATGCACTATGTACTTATGTACTTACACACTCAACAGCATAGTGTATAATTAGTGTCGTTCCACACTACACTAATGTTTTTTTACTATGTGGAAATTCAAACCATTTCCCTAATAATGTTTGACGGTGGTCAAATTAGTGAAATAAATGACCAAAGTACCAAATAATACCTGCCATGATTATAACTGCATTCACCATCAGAGGCGCTATAATCACTCTCCTAGGAGAATTTTGCTTTCACAATCTAAAATAAATAGCGTTGCCCCTTCCACAACATTAGCAAACCTGCGGCTGTCGAGTGTGTCCATCATTCCACACTTCATTATAGCACTTGAATAAGTGCATCATCAGGTTAATTAAAGTGAATTATTATTTTTACAGCTTTCAGTGTGAATGCACTACTTACATTATTTACTCTACAAAATGGCATAGAATATTGCATAAGTATGCGATTTGGGATGCACCTATAGTCTGAGTGATCAGCTCTTGAGCAGCTCCCATGCTGTGTGTAATCAAAGGTAAACCAGAACAGGTGTGTGTGTGTGTGGTGCCTGAAGGGAGTTGTAGTTCATATGGTGGCAGACTTGTAGTTCTCCAGCACTCTACATGGGCTAGATCTCTGATGATTGACAACTACACTGTCAAGTGTGATTTCTAGCAAGAATGTAAAAATGTTAGTATTCAAATAAAATACTAGTACACCGAATTCAAAAGAGGAGGAGTCAATGATGTAGTCGCATCAATAATAATAATAATACAATTTATTCAATAAAAACAGCAAATTGAATTGATTTGTGCAGCGCAAATATTAACAAATATTATTACAAAGTAGATTTAGGAAGTATAAAGGTTTACACAAAGTTTTTTTGATCATTTATGCTCATAATACAAAAAGATAAAGATAAAAGTTATGAAAGAGTATAAGAGTTATTAAAACTATGGCGGAGAGGGGTCGCTATTAATTGAAGAGGGCTAATAATTCTGACTTCAACTGTATATATTGTTATTTTCCTCCCTGTAAATAAGGAAAATTACACTAGAATAAAAATATGAAACAAACTTTGCTTTAAATATCTCGTGATTTTCTCCTTTTGTTGTTTGATTAATGATAAAAACAGTCGGCAGCAGGAATATTGCGCACTGTCACTTTAAGAGCAGTACGATTCTGTTTATGGTTTCTCATTCACATGTCTTTTGATTCTCGTTTGTTTATTACACAAATGAGAGTTAATATGAATAATCACTAAACACCGCATTTTTGACACTTATTTGACCATTAAAGCGCTCTCATTAAGATGACTTAGGATGTGTGTGCTCTGCTGGTCTTTGAGTCTCTCTCTCATGCTTTTAAAAACATAAATGATTCAAATGTACATCAGTTAATGATGCGCATCCCGTGCTGCAGACGTGACATTACAGTACATGCTTTTAGTCATGTACACGTGAAACTGAGCTTTGCAGAGCAACAAATGTATACAACTGGAAAGGGGTGGTATATGATGCATTAATCGTTTTATCTCGATTAATGTTTTTTCATAATCGTAAGAAGCCAAAATCGAAATCGAATTTTCAATTATTAGCTCAGCCCTAATTCATATTACAGTAGAATGCTGTGTAATTTGCCAAAATTGTTAACAGCTTGTCTCCTCTCTGTTCTCCTGTTCTCCCTTTCTGGATCTTATGTCTTCAACCACAAAAGCAGCAGCAGCCACGCCCACCAGAGCAGAGATGACCAATCTCATCACACTTTCGACAGAACCACAGCATGGACATTCTAAAAAGAAATAAAGGTTGCTGTATGAGGTTATTTGTTTGGAATTTCACAACATTTGGACTTAAAAAAGCTTTTGTTGACACACCTTCACATGATTGACAGAGTGTGGTGATGTCCAGATTTGTGGTCTGGTTGCTGATGGTGTTGTTTATCACACAGCTGTAGGTGTTGTTATCCTGATGTTCCACCTCCAGAGGTAGAGAGAGACTGCTGCTGAGATCAGACACACTGATGCTGGACAATATACTGTTTCCTTTGTACCAGGAGAGACTCACAGCACTCACATTCACCACTGAACACAGCAGCTCACATCTGGACACCTCTAAATGTTCAGATACTGATGAAGATGAATTTTGTGGGCAAGTTCTGATAATGTCAGGAGCAGGTAGACGAGCTGAAAAACAGTGTAAATAATTATAAACCAAAAGAATTGTACAGGTAATACTTTTTTGTGACTGATTAAGCAATTATATATAAAAATACAAATACAGAACAGGGAAATAAATAAACAACATAAAGGAAAACAAAAGTTAATAAAAAAATGAGTGGTATGTACAGTAATATGACTGGTTTAGTAACGCTGGTTATCTTTTTACTTGTCCCTAAAGTTGCCAAAATATTCAAGGATTCAAAGATTGCACTATTAATAATTCATATTCATTCAGGTGAAATATTAAGCTAAATTTTTTTTTTAAAAATATGTACATAACTGTATTACTGTGTACGAAAAGAGCAGCGACCATGAGGTGAAGCTCAAATCAAAATGGATGACAGTCCAAACACAATTCTTGTCATACATTTGCATCTCTTTATTTTGATCAGTGTAAAAGGGCCTCCATCATCCATTGTTTTACTTCGAGAGGGCCTTAAATGGATGTTTCAGTAAAACCTACATAAGTATATGACTCAGCGTCAGACTGGCAAAAACCTGAGATATTATCACCGTATCTGAGATGCAATATTAAAATATTGAAGATTTTTTTTTTTTTGCTTAAAGGGCACCTATGGTGAAAAATCTACTTTTCAAGCTGTTTGGACAGACATGTGTGTAAGTATGGTGTATATACTGTCATATCGGGGTGATATAAACACACCCAGTACTTTTTTTTTCAAATTTAACAACATAAAAACGGTGGACCAATTGGAGCGGTTTTCAGATCGACCGCAACTTTACGTAGGAGGCTGTCCCCCTGCCCACCAATATTGATTGACAGCTGCGCGCATTAACATGTCTCCGTAGTAACGCATAAACTCATACCGACAAGACAGGACGAGTGCAAAGCAACCGGGAATAAAGGGTCTGTTCAGACAGTTTGCTAGGATTATCAATCATCATCAGGCATGATCAAGAGTGAGTTTTACAAGTTTAAGATGTTTTAAAACGTGTGCATGTGTGTAATGAAGTACAGCAACTCACTTCAGATTCACTTCATCAGCACAGCCTCGTGTCTCTCTCACTGTCTCTCTGTGTGTGTGTTTGCGCTATGTATACGTGTGTGTGTGTGTCTGCATGTCTACGCTATGTATGTGCGTTAAGTGTCTGCGCTACGTGTGTGTGCTATGTGTGTGTGTGTGTCTGCCTGCGTGTCTACGCTATGTATGTGCGTTAAGTGTCTGCGCTACGTGTGTGCTATGTGTGTGTGTCTGCCTGCGCGTCTACGCTATGCATGTGCGTAAGTGTCTGCGCTACGTGTCTATGCTGTGTGCGTGTCTGTGCTGTGTGCGTAAACTCATTATTGCAACTCCACAAAAAAAAAAAGTGTCTGCGCTACGTGTGTGTGCTATGTGTGTGTGTGTGTCTGCCTGCGTGTCTACGCTATGTATGTGCGTTAAGTGTCTGCGCTACGTGTGTGCTATGTGTGTGTGTGTGTGTGTCTTCCTGCGTGTCTACGCTATGTATGTGCGTAAGTGTCTGCGCTACGTGTCTATGCTATGTGTGTGTGTCTGCGTGTCTGCGCTGTGTGCGTAAACTCATTATTGCAACTCCACAAAAAATGCATCAAATACTAGTTGGTAAAGTTCTTACTGTAGTATTTCTCACAAACCTTATGTGACATCTGCTTCCTGACATGTTGCTGACAGGCACGTGGGATCGGTGGGCGGAGATGACTCGCCTTAAAGGCCCAGTGCAAAAAAAAGCAACAACCTTTTCCCAGCTATAATACAGACACTTCAAACAGCTATAATAAATACTCTGATGGGTGTTTCGAGCTAAAACTTTACAGACACATTCTGGGGACACTAAAAAATTTTAATAAATATGAAAAAAGCGGTAACCTATGTGCCCTTTAATGCTTTAAATCAGCTCAAAAATCACTGAATGATTTGTTGGTAAATTTCACTTAAACTATTTGAAAAATCACATTTTCAGTGCTTGGTTTCCTAGTTTTGGCCAGTGATAAAAGCAGCAGGCCAAAACAAAAATACAAACAAACAAACAAACATCTACTTACCAACATCTGTTAAAATTGTTTATTTGAAATAGACAAACTATACTTACGATAGATAGTGACACAAAATTTCTTGACTTGATCTTCTCTTCCTCCTATGATATTTAGTTCATAAACTCCAGAGTCTGAGGTTTTGCTGTCACTGATGGTCAGTGCTCCAGTCTGATCTAGATGTAATCTGCCTTTGAATCCCTCATTAGAAACATCATAATTTACTGAGATGTGATTTCCATCTTTGAGAGCTATGAAAGCGCCTTCTGCTCCAAACTTATAAATCAACATATTTTTCTGTATATCAGTGACACCAGGGTATAGAGTGATTGAATCTCCCTCCATCACTGACACTGACTCCAGTCCATCAGCACCAGACACACCTGAAGACGAGAAACAAAATGAGAGGTAGATCAAAAATTCCTGAAATAATTACTTAAAGGGGCAGTAGGTGATCTGCCAAAATGCTAACCGGTAAGCATATTATCTTTAGACGGCAGGGGAAGGACTGTGTTACAAAGCCACGCCTCCTGAAATAGCAAACGCGCACACAGCGACTCAATAGCACACAACCCAGTAGTTCATTTAATTCGTCAGTTAGAGATGTAGTGTTTAGCCTTCGGCGTGCAGGAATTTCACTTATTACTAAGCCCCACTTACATGATATTTCAGAGTGAATATTCAGAGGCTGTCATTGTTAAAAAATGACGCAATGCGAATATAAAAGAAACTTCAGCTCAGTAAAGCAGGTCGCTGTTTACTTATATATTGGTGTTAAACTGAATAAAAATCTACATTATCGATGGTGTAAAAGGTGCTTATAAAACTGAATATAGTCACATCCATCTTTCACTGGAAGATTTCAGTGTCTGAACAACACTTCTGTGCATATAACCCATTCATAACACAACACACTCTACATCAGGTTTGGGGGACTAAAAGAGTTTTAAAACAGAACATTACCTGTCTAACAGAAATACTTCAGCCATAGTGTCATCCTTCCTCCAGCGTGCAAAACTAACTCCAATATTGATTCAGGATTTTAAAAAGTTTAAATTCAGCATTTGATTTTACTGCGACTGTGATTGTCTCGTGTGCATGTGTCGTGAACGTGCGGCACTCATGCAGGCGTGCATGCTCTAATGGCGGATCTGCATGAACAGAGATGTGCAGAAGTCCAAATCTACATTTGTTGACAGACAGTGAGCTACTTTGGAATTATGGGAGATGTCGGCCCGACAATATTTTATTGGACGAACATTTTTTAGTCTTATGCCTTACTCATATAAAAATACATTAAAACTTATTTACTGTAATCCTTACTATTGGACTGTGAAGAGACTTTCAAACAGCACAACAAAACATCTTTCTGAAGACAATCACCAACTGAACCTTTAAATAACTAAGAAAACGGTTTGTGGAGGATTTTTTTAGGAACGTTAAAGCTTAAAATGCTTTTCAACTAAATACACAAATCATATATAGAGATAATAAAATATAGAAACATAAAAGTCATATAAAAGAATGATTAAATAAAGGTAAAAATTGCTTACCAAACCAAATATTCCCTTAATAATGTAAATCATCTAAAAATATCAAATACAATTTTACATCTGTAACTTCTATTAGCATGTTTTTTATTTTTTTCCCCACACAGTCATTAAAATATTGAAATTTCTATGTTCAAAAAGGACTCTGTCTTGCAACGTTGTCATTATAAAAAATTACAATTTAAAAATATATGTTATTAGAAAAAAAACAACAGGTATCTGTCTACTTGCACAAAATACATTCCTTTCTTTTGTTTCGCAGTATTACCAACTCCACACTAAAGGAAAGGTTCGCCCCAAAATTTTTTAATTTACTCATTATTTACTCACTCTCAAATAGTTTCAAAACTTTATGGAATAAAATCATATGGAAGTCAATGGTTACAGGTTTTAAGCATTTTAAAAATATCTAATTTTGTGTTCAACAGAAAAAGGAAACTCAAAAAGTTTGAAACAAGGGTGAGTAAATGAGGACAGAATTTTCATTTTTGGGTGAACTGTCCCTTTAAAGCCAGGCTTTGTTGCTGCTGGGTAAAAAAAATCCCTCAGCAACAACAGAGCAGATAAATCTAAAAGTAATGCTTCACATTCTCTGTCTGCTGTGCATTTGCAGTTAGTATACAGCGTGGAGGCAGGGACTGGCCAGATAATAAGGCACTTTTGAGCCGATTCACGCAAAAATGCGGCTCAGTCTCTGCATCGATGAGAAGATAACGGACCAGAGTTGTGCTGACTCTACAAACCCTTCTGATGGACTGCAAGACATACAATCTTTACATCTACTTATAAGCCTGTGTTGATGAATTTTATTATCTGTAATTCCAGGCATTTGTATTTGTTATGGTAAAACTTCAGTTACGCTTTTACAGAAAGTGTATAAAAAATGTACTTTCAGATTTTGTATAACTGTTTAATATTTTTATTTTCTCTTTTAACTGCATTGGCATTCACTCTTCATTCATTTTCCTTTAGCTTAGTCCCTTATTTATCAGGTAGCCACAGCAGGATAAACCACCAACTATTTCTGCTTATGTTTTACGCAGTGGATGCTGTTCCAGCCACAACCTAGAACTGGGAAAAAAAAAAAAAACACTTTCGCATTCATGCACACACTCATACACTATGGCCATTTATTATTATTTTTTTACCTAGCGCATGTCTGGACTGTGGGGTAAACCGGAGCACCTGGAGAAAACCCATATAAACTTGCAAACTCTACAGCCAAGATCTGAACCAGAACCAAGATTTGAGCTATGAGACGACAGTGCTAACCACTAAGCCACCGTGCCACCCAGTTCAGGCATACAATAGCTGCGTTTTCACTGTCGTGCCTAACATGAGCATGCCAGTGTGAACAAGGGCCAGTTGCATACTCACAGTCATTTCCAGGGCCTGATCGGGCCAAATCAGGGCTTTGAGTGTAGTGTTCTTATAGGGTGCACTCACTTTAGGCTATTTGAATCGTGCCTGGGCGCAATCGACTGCCATATCCCGGTTTGTTTGACACAACTGGCCTGGTTGGAAAAGGTAGGCCAGAACATGTCGTTAATCAAGACGTATGCCCTGACCAGACATGACGTCACTTTTAAGGGACTGTTTCATATGGATTTATTAATCCTTTCTTTTCAATGAATATAAACTAACATAGTTTATCAAAGATGCAAACCCCTCACTGCACTCAAGCTGCTGCCTTCAGCAAATATGTGTGGCACGTATTAATATTACGTATTACATATTATTATTACATATTATTTTCCGGACGTCAAATACCTAGGGATAAAGAGGCTGGGGCTTTGGGCAGAGTGAAGGCAAAGGCAGAGTTTGCTCAAGCCTGGTAATGATGGTCTGCCACCATTTTACTAGTCATGTGTAATGGTCATGATTAACATGGTTAAAATATTAAAATATCTTTTACAAAAGACATAAATAAAGGAAAGAAAGAAAGAAAAAAAGAAAGAAACGTATAGTTACTGGTCAGTTAAGATCTCCCTTATGTTTCCCTTTTAACTTGTGTTGCATAAAATAATCCTCGAAGTAGTTGTAATTTAATACGTTTGCTGTGTCTTTGAAGATGTTGTTTCATTAACGCTTAATAATCTTTACACAATTCAGTCAGGCCCTATACCACATTAAAGACACATCAGCCAGTAACTTTCATTTGTCAAGAAATTTTATCAAGTTCAAAAGGTGCGAAAGATCACTCTATTCACAGCTCTGTCTACAGCCAATTGTCTTACAGTGCAAGTGGCTGGGCTTATTTATTTTTTGGAGATAATAGCCAACAAAATATGAACACAACAAAAAGACTAAAACTTTATAAATTACGTATTAACTTTTGTAGGTTCAACAAAATGGTGTAATATTAGATCTTGTTAAAAAAGCCTAAGATATTAAGCATTTAAAGAATTCCAAAAATCTGATAGAATAAAATAATTCAATAAATAAACCAATATAAAACAAACAAAAGTTTATAACCTAAAATTAAACTGAACAGTTTTAAACCCTTTTGAACTTTCCATTTACAAAGGCCCATCTGAAAAAAAAGTTTTAGATCTTTTCTAAAACAATAATCAACGGCAGTGTCGGATTTAGGCATGTGCAATATTGGCAATCGCCCAGAGCAGCATCTTGCTGGCGGCATGAGGAGAGAAAAAGTCCCCTAGTAAAAGCACTGAGATACAATTTACTGTACGCAAGTGTATTAATTAAGAGTGGCAATCCCAGAATAAAAACGTTAGGAGCCATTTACATTTGGCATCTTTTGCACGCAGGCGAAGCAGTGGCGCAGTAGGTAGTGCTGACGCCTCACAGCAAGAAGGTCGCTGGTTCGAGCCTCGGCTCAGTTGGCGTTTCTGTGTGGAGTTTGCATGTTCTCCCTGCATTTGCGTGGGTTTCCTCCGGGTGCTCCGGTTTCCCCCACAGTCCAAAGACATGCAATACAGGTGAATTGGGTAGGCTAAATTGTCCTTAGTGTACGAGTGTGTGTGAATGTGTGTGTGGATGTTTCCCAGAGATGGGTTGTTGGCTGGAAGGGCATCCGCTGCGTAAAAAAAATAAATAAAATAAACTTGCTGGATAAGTTGGCGGTTCTTTCGGCTGTGGCAACCCCAGATTAATAAAGGGACTAAGCTGAAAAGAAAATGAATGAATGATCTTTTGCACGCACGGGTTTGTTAACCTCTATGTACAACCGATACAATGCTAGCGAAAGCAAACTGATAGATGCGCGCAAAAAAACATTGTTTGTATGCACGCTGATAAAATATGCACCGCTAATGCTCCATGAAACCAAAGTAGCTGCCTTTTGTGCAGAGGTGTTAGAACGCAGCGAGTTTTGCAAGTCAACATAGCTAAAGTTCATATAATATGATCATGATGTTACTTTCACTAAGCATGGCTTTAAAGCAGAAAGCAGGGATAAAGAGTCAGGGAGCGAAGGCTTCATAACATTAAATCTCAGCCATGAGTTGGTTCTAAGACAACAGATAATTCTATAAAACATTTATTTTTTGTATTCTATAGAATTGTCATAATATTCATGCAAAAGTTTTTTTAAGTGATCTTAGCATATCACTCCATATTGTTTTCCAGTTACATTTAGGATTGATTTCTGCTATTAATTAATTCATTCATTTTCTTTTCGGTTTACTTACTTTATTAATCCAGGGTGGCCACAGCAGAATGAACCGCCAACTTATAAAGCATATGTTTTACACAGCGGATTTCATTCCAGCTGCAACCCATAACTGGGAAACACCCATACACTCCCATTCACACACACACTTTTTTTAATTACACAAAAAGTGGGCTGCTCGGTGACGCAGCGCCTCACAGCAAGAAGGTCACTGGTTCAAGCCCAGGCTGGGCCAGTTGGCGTTTCTGTGTGGAGTTTTAATGTTCTCCTTGTGTTTGCGTAAGTTTCCTCTGGGTGCTTCAGGTTCTTCCACAAGTCCAAAGACATGCACTATAGGTGAGCTTTTAAGGTATTTTGATATAGGATTAGACCATGCAGACAAGTTTTTTTTTTTAAGTTTGTACATAATGATCATTTCAAAAATTGCTAATTGGAAATGGCCTCAGTTTCACAGAATGACGACTACGTGTGAAAATTAACCTGTTAAAAAAAAAAAGACCGCAAATGCACTGCAGATGAGTATGTGTGAAACAGCAGTAACAAAGCAACACGTAAATCTAAACGGACTAAAACCAAACAAACAAAATAAAAAAAAAAGTTGCTTTTCTGTGTAAAAGATATGACAACGCTAATGAAACTAAGATAAGACTAAACAAAACGAATCGCACATATTGCTTAGAAGAAATACAGCCAGCATTATAAATTGCAAAAGATAAAGCCACAACTTACCAGTGAGGTACAAACACAGCACAGCAAACAAGCAAATCATTTTCGTATACTTTACAACAAAACAAATTTAATAGGAATAAAAACTAAACTAAAACAGTCTAAATAGGAATAAAAATAAATTTGAACAAAATTTCTTAAAACACGTTTTGTAGATAAACGAGAGGTCTAAGAACAAGAGTCCTCGGAGACGTTATGAGTCGACAGAGAGCAAACTCGTGTGCGCGCGCCGCCTAGAGTGAAACATAGGCACTTTTATTGGTCCTGTACCGTCAGTTTTCAGTGTCACCACAGCACACTTAACTGCCTTATACACTTTTCGCTTATAACATCTAAACGAGTGTTATATTTATATATATATTTATATATATATATTAAGAAATTAACTGAGTTTGTGTCAACGTAAATGTAACAGTAGCCTATATAACAAATCAGGACTTGCTTTTGTCTCGTTCTGAACTGAGCTGCTCTGGTAAGATCTCAGACTGTTTGGGAGACCGCATTAGTTAAACACGCAGCGCCATCTGTCTTTAACAAAGAGAAATCCCCTAAACCCCCCTATGTTGCTTCGGAAACCAAAAAGGACATTAACAACGTAGCCTACGATATTTGAAAAAATAAAAATATTAAAAAATAACGCCTGACAGTTTAAACCAGGTATTCACTTTCTGTTCAATAAAGCAGCAATACACATGTCTATATGTCCTCTAAAAAAGAAAATTGGGCAAAGTCAAACTCATTTAAATAATAATGATTTCAACTAGGTATAATTTTCCGGTAAAATTCTAGTTATTTTAAAAAAAGTTTTTCCAAGTGTTTTTAATAGCGACAAGATTATTTAAAATAAAATGAATAATTTATAACTAATCTCTAACATCGAACTTATATTGTCTTTGGCATGATGACAACTATATAATATTTTTTTCTAGTTGTTTTGCAAAAAAAACTAGTATTCAGTTTAATGGCTTAAGAAGGAAATTTATTGCACAACAGCAATTCTGATTTGATTTTTGATTAATGTAAAGCCTGAGGGACATGTTATCTATTTTCTCCTTATTTAATATGACTGCAAGCCCTTCAGCTTCCATTTGTTTTAAGCATTACTTCAATCACATTTCCACTGCAAAACAGTTCTTGTTGTGCAGATTGAAAGTTCCAATTGTAATGATTAAAGTAATTAATCTAAATGTGTTTATATGTATTTTTATATTCTGGGCAAGGCATAGGACTAAAATTAAACACGTTTAAATAAAACGGCACACGTTCATGCAGATAGCTCCGTCATTTGCACGCATGTGCAGCAGTGATCTGCTGCAGCTGAAAAAGAGAGAGTGAGAGAGAAGAAGAGAGGCAAACTCAGCATTAACATGAACTTCCTTCTGAAAGACCAATTCATGTAACCATTTCATTTTGTAACCATGAAAAGAAAGATAGTTTTTAAAAGTTTCAAAAATGCAGAATCAAAACTTTTCTGAATCCGGAATCAATTTCAGAGTCACTTTTGCAGGCTGGAGGGATATATGCAGTTCAAAATCACTATCTGAAAGAGGACATGGCTGTCTTTATTTTAAACAGGTAAGTTTTAAAATTTTTAATTTAATCTTCAACTGGCTCGCATGAGCTGCTGGTGGCAGGCATACTGAGCCGTCGGTATTCCAGTCTGTCCGTTTGGATGAAATTACTGGAAAGCAATAGCCTGCTGTAATAGCTTGAAAGAATATAAATATGATGTCATGATGAAAAGTGCGCTATTCCGCCAAGCTTCTTGAAGTAAAGTTGGTTTTATATTAAAGCATTCGTTAATTTTTTACAGTAAAACCTGGCAGCTGGGTTGCTAGCCACATTCTGTATTTTTACAGAACCACCTACTGTAAACATGATTTACAATCTTGTACTGCAGTTACCAAAAACAGTACCCTACTGATATATTGCATATTCTTACAGTATTAAACGATGTCTACACCGTTACAATGTTTTATTCAGCTGGAAATCATATAAATTACTACTTTTCACTCAGTACTCCAAACTATACTCTCAAACATATGTAATAAAAAAATACGTTATAAAAATTACAAACGGTAACAATATGAATTAAAACACAACACTGACAGGAAACCAAAAAGCAAACATAATGAACATTTCCTGATGAAAATAGCATTTTACAGTTAAATATGAAGGTAGTGTACTTACTTTTAATGGAAAATGTCTCAGAGAATGATTTAAACAAAATCCATCAAATCCAACTCTGTGATGTTTAAAGTCTTTTTGCAAAGGAGAAGAAAACTTCAGGTTAACAGTCCTGTTTGTTTTTGCATATGTCCAGTCTTCTTTGATTATATTTACTTTGTTGGCTTTGAATCCAAGTTCAGGGTTGATATAATCAACAAAAAAAGAAAAAATACACTAGTGGATTATATGTAGATTTATATATTAGACAGCACAGATCATTTGCAAACAGCTTTTGTAAAATCAGATGTCTTTTTGTGATATATTTGTTTGGATATAGTCCTTATTTTCAAATTATGATTTTGCAAAAAATGTCCATCTTCTCTAAACTGATCAAAAGCAGAACATGCATCTATGAAGCTCTTTACAAATAATGTCAAGACAAGGTTTGTGACCCAGTTGACTTTAACATACATGACTAGTTAATATGTCAATACCTCTGAACCCAAGGGTGACTTTCTGCCTCTTTCTGATACTGGAGGTTGAAATTGTTGAATGAGGCAAACAGTTCTTCAAGGCCAGAGATACCACACACAGCCTTGTCTTCAATGCTTAACATACACCACTGGCTGCTTGAAGATGGAGCTGAAAATGAACAAACACAAATTTTACATTAAAGATACACTTAAGTTTGTAAAAACAAATAGCTAACTCAATGTCTTCATGTTGTCCCAACACAGATTGATTGTGTGGAACCCAGTGTGTATAACAAAGCAGGGTTCCATACAATTTATTGAAGTCATCTCAGCACAAATTGATAAAGTAAATGCAACAAATTTAAGTGGATTTAACATAAAACAAATAGGTTGTCGCTGAAAAATCTCTGGAATGGTGTTGTTTTAGCTTCTTTTAAATAAGTATTTTGAACAAGCAGCAAAAATATTTTTTGAGTGTATTAAATGACCTTAATGGGCCTGTAATTTGAGGATAATGTTGTTTTGAATACTTAATATTTTGAATACTCTGCCATCCATCCCGCTCGTAATACATAGTCTTACATAGTCTGTGACTGTATAGGATTCATATTTCCAAATGTGTCCCCGTCTTGCACAAGTTTCGCAAGCTTCCTGTTAGCAAGTTTTTACTAGTGTGGTTTCCTCTACGGTTAAACCTCGATCTGAATCACCAGGGCTGTCCCGAGCCTTCAGGGGCCCCTAAGCAGGATTTTATTTGGGGCTCCCTTGGTGCAAACAATTTGACAAATTAATAATCAATCCTTGATTATTCGCACAATATAAATCTAAAACATGCATTATTATTATTTTTTTTATTTGCTGTACCTGTATTGCTTAAATCGTAACATATATATTTTAAGACAATTCTAAATACTATTTTGCAGAAACAACTGCCTAGATGGTCCCACATTCTATATGACTACTTGCCACAAGTGTAACGCTTTTATTAGCATTATTGAGCTGTAATTAATGTTGTTAAAATCAAAATGGCTGGAAGCAGCTAACAGCATATTATTATTATTATTATTAATATTCAGTCACAAGCAGTGGTGGAAAGAGTACTGAAAAATCATACTCAAGTAAAAGTATCATTATTTGCCTAAAAATGTAGTACAAGTTGAGTAAAAGTATATGTTGTAATTACTACTCAGAGTATGAGTAAAAGTAGCTCTTTTAAAAGTACTCATGAGTAGTGAGTATTACGCTGTGAAAAGCTTATGCGATCACATGTAATTTGTGGATGTTTGTAAATGAAACATTCTGTAGTGCATGTAGTTATTGCTCAGCAGGCACACAACATCATATAGGACGTTAATATTAGGTTAGATTAAGGTTCTGATGTCAAGTGACCAGAATTCAATGTCTAGCTTCTTCTCACAAATCTGAACCACATTTGGCTTTCGAGCGGAAGCAGTCGAGACCCTCAGTATGGCTTGAAGATGATCATCATTAAGTCTAGACCTGTACTTTGACTTATTGAAGTTCAAGGTGGAGAATAACTTCTCACACAAATATGTGCTCCCAAAAAGGCACATGGTCCGCTTGAACATTCGGGAAAGCTCAGGGAAGCTGGGGGGCAATTCTCTCTAAAATTGCCCATGCATATCTGCTTTTCCACTCATCTCCCTGAACTTGACTTTGAGATCAGAATTGCATTACAGGTCAATGGAGAGGGTGCTCGCTGCAGAGCCATTTGAGGAGAGCTGAGCTCCAGCGAGGGGGAGCATGAGCTGTCGCTCCTCCTCCTGTAAGCTGTTTTAATGCAACATCTATATGTTTTAATGCATATAGAGGGGCATCTTGCACATCAAAGGAAAAGGGGTCCACAAAAATTTGGAAAGTGGCTCTGTGCGTTTTGAAGTCTGCAAATCTGTGATCAAATTCCTTCTCTAGCTTAAAAATAGCATCAACATATTTCTCACCACTGAATCGTATGCCTGCATCCACAAGTGCCTTGCATGCTGGGAAATGGCAAAGGTTTGTCTGAGAGAGCTGGGATTTCCATAACACAAGTTTTGTGGAGAATGCTCTCACATTGTCATAGGCAGCGCTGACGAGCTGCCCCTGGCCTTGTAACATCTTGTTTAGTGCATTCAGCTTATGTGTGATGTCAACAAGAAAAGCTAAGTCCATGAGCCATTTGTGATCACTCAACTCAGAAACAGCCTTCCCATCCTTCTCCAAGAAGGCTTTCACTTCTTCTCTCAACTCAAAAAATCTTTTCAGGACATTTCCCCTGCTGAGCCAACGTACCTCGGTGAAATAGAGCACATCTCCATATTCTGACTCCATTTTCTCTAAAAAAGCACGGAAACTCATGTGCTTTAATCCCCTGGATCTGATTTGGTTGACGCATTTCACAACAACAGACATCACATTGTCACACGGCAGGCATTTGCTGCAAAGGGTCTGCTGATGGTTAATGCAGTGAAGAGCAATGGCCTCCTCTACACCCTCCTCTTGAAGTTTTTTTTTAACAAGTGCCACCAGTCCATTTTTCCTCCCTATCATCGATGGCGCTCCGTCGGTTGTTTTTCCAACAAACCTGCATTCTCAAGGGTATCACACAGATGACGAAATATCTCATTAGCGGTGGTCTGGCCATGCATTGGAATTATTGTGAGCAGCTCCTCCGTCAATTCAAAACTGCAATCAACACCACGGACATAAATTGTGAGCTGAGCAGTGTCTGTTATGTCTGTGCTTTCGTCAAGAGCGACAGAGTATGCATCAAAACATTTGGCTCTCACACAGTTGATGATAAATGTCACTTGACATGTCAGAAATGCGCTCTGCCACAGTGTTGGCAGAAAAACAGAGGTTGCTAAACTGACCTTTCTTTTCCGGACAGATAATACTTGCAGCCTGTAACATGCATTTTTTAACAAACTCTCCTTCTGTGAATGGTGTCCCTGCCTTAGCAATCATCTCACTAACCATGTAACTAGCTGCGACTGATGCAACATTCTCTTTGGTTGATTTCTTGAAGAAATCTTGTTGCCTCAGAAGACATGCTTTAAGACTGGCAACTCGCTTGGCTCTCTCATCCCCCTGATATTTTGCACATTCCTCAGCATGTTTAGTTGAATAATGGCGTTTCAAGTTGTATTCCTTGTGCACTGCAACTTTCTCTGTGCAAACAAGACATGTGGGGATGCCCCTGTGCTCAACAAAGAAATACTGCGTCTCCCACTTTTCCTGATATTGTCTGTGCTCGTCATCAATCTTTCTCTTCACTGCAGGCTTTGATGAAGTCATGATGGGGGTATGACCAAATCTAATTCTGTAATAAAATCTAATTCTTCTCTGTCTGTTCTAATTCTAATTGATTCCAGGTGTGGCCCACACACAAACTCTCCTGCCGACTGCCAGCCTCTCTTCAATTCAATCTTTTTCTGACCGCTGTGCCAGGGGTCAAGTCCTCGGGAAAAAAGTGGGGGAACTCACTCAAAACTTCCATTCCCTCACCTAAAAAAAAAGGCATATGTATATGTATATGTATATGTATATGTATAAATAAAACACCCCCACCCCACTCTCTCCCCGCTCCGCTGATTCTGTCAGTGTACAGCGGTCAGCGCGGGCCACAAAATATTGCACTGAGGGCCGCGAGTTTGAGACCCCTGGTCTAGGGGCTCAAATCAAGGTTGCAATCTTTTAATCTCGATTAATTGTGCAGCTCGAATATATATATATATATATATATATATATATATATATATATATATATATACACACATACATACAGGGAGAACATGCAAACTCGATTTATCAATAGATCACAAAAAAAAAACAACCACTAAAAATTTCAATTTTTGTAAATAAAGGGGAAAATTAAAATAAAAAAAATGTGATTCATTTCTTTTATTAACAGCACATATTTAATAGAATTGGAAGTGTGAATCAAGTGCACAGTAAAACTAGCTTTAAAAAGCTGATGTGCAAGGAGCAGTTTGTGACTGAAAAGCTCACATCTTGCATATGAATCACTTTAAAAAGATGGCCTGAGTCGTCAAAAAAATCAGATTTGACCATTAAGATATGCTGTGTAAATGCAGCCTAATTTAGTCATAGCTGCAGCAGCATCATTTTGTGTAACATACATAAAAAAAAATTATCAAAATAGCAATTTATTACTTTCTAGATTTCTCTCAACTTAAAGTCCCCATGAACCAAATGCAAACATTTTTTTTCATATTGTGATGCAGTTCCTAGAGAAACAGATTATTAAATGAACAGTGGGCGTGGCTTGTTTTTATATGAACGGATGTAGTAAAGTAGGCATTTTATTTAGAACGATGGGGAACAGGGAGAGTTATTGCAACCTAACAGACACCTCCTACTCACCATTTCTGTTTGTTGTCAAATCTGAGTTGCAGCAGCATGGTTAAATGTGTTAACCATGCCCAATACCTAAAACATACCTGATAAATCAACTTTTTTACAGATTTCAATTAAAGATTAGATTAAGTGTTAAATGTGGTAAAGTGTGTCAGCCACGCCCAATTCCTAAAAACATACCTGAAAAATGAACTTTTACAGATTTCAGTTAAAGATTAGCAGGGCAAACATTTTTTTTTTCTTAATGACATGTATAGATGAAATGTTCACCACAAAATTAGCAATGTGAGCTAACAAATTCATATGGTTAGTTTGGATTTCTTTTTACAACTTGACCAACTTATTTTATGGAAACATGTTATGCCCTGGTTTAATTAATTAATTAATATATATATATATATATATATAGATATATAGATATATAGATATATATAGATATATAGATATATAGATATATAGATATATATATATATATATATATATATATATCTATATATATATATCTATATATATATATCTATATATATATATCTATATATATATATATATATATATATATATATATTAGATTTTTTCCCCAAGTGGACATATTGCTATATTTCAAAATGCATGCATATATGACACATTTTATATGTAAAATCCACATATGAAGATGCATGCCATAAATGTAGCCTAGCTTGCAGATACATTGTCATCAGATTGTCATCGCTGTTAACGCCATCACATATGACCCAAACAAATTATCTTAAAACGCATACGCCAAAATAATTGTTACTTACCTTCGTGATGAATTGTGTCAACTTATTCCCAGATTTATCCTTAATTTTTTATTTTTTGTTTGTTTGTTTTTAAACTCATTTTCCAAAGTTCCCGCAACCTTCTATGTCTCTTAATTACGGAACCCCGGAAGGGACGTAGTGGAGGAGAAAAAAATTGGCTGGGTGAAAAAAATGGGTGAAAGAAAAAAATGGGTGGGAGGAAAATCTAATTTCTAAGTTTTTGCTTTCTCTCGCAAAACTGTTTCTCCACAAACAATTCCTGTTCACTTAACTCAAGTAAACCCTCCCGTTTTTGCTGAAATTCTCCCATATTTTACCATTCTACCCCACTTTCTTTACATTACTGTGCGCTGATTGTCGCCTTTCACTTTGCAACCTCCGAACCAGTGAATGCACGACCATATTCTCCGCAGACGAGCGGGCGCTGCCATTTAAATATTTTTGGCACGAGACTTCTTCTTCTTCTTTGGGTTTTACTGGCGGTTGGCAACCAGACTTATAGGTGCATTACCGCCACCGACTGGAATGGAGTATGGAACTAGTTGAATAATTTCTGAAGTGTATAAATTACAGGAAGGGAGAGAAAGGGGGAGGAAATAGTGTTTTGGCACGAAACTTCCGGTCTCTGTCACTCTGATTAATTTTTAGACATTAAAAACTGCTCGTTTCGCTGTTTGATGTTGCAAACTGATATTTCCTTGTTATATCATTCTACTTGGTCTGTATAGTCATGCAAACATTTGTTTGTAGAGCAAGTAGTTTGGCCGTTTTTTGCCGTTTATTATTCCTTGTGAAGTGAGTGAGTGAAGTGAACAGGAATTGTTTGTGGAGAAACAGTTTTGCGAGAGAACGCAAAACATCTTTGCGAGGGAACGCAAAACATCTTTGCGAGATAACGTAAAACTTTGCGAGGGAACGCAAAACATATTTGCGAGGGAACGCAAAACTTTGCGAGAGAACGCAAAAACTTAGAAATATATATTTTCCTCCCACCCATTTTTTTCTTTCACCCATTATTTTTTTTTTCACCCAGCCAATTTTTTTTCTCCTCCACTACGTCCCTTCCGGGGTTCCGTACTTCCGGGGTTCCGTAGTTATTCATTTCCGGATTCGTAACATCTCTCCTGGGACAAAAGAGTTTAGAATGACCTAGAGGCGACACTCAGTAGAAAGTCCATTGCATCAGCAGCGCCAAGCAACTGCCGGGTTCCGCCATTTTGGAATGAAAGCGATCGGCTGTCCATTAGATCTTATTGATATGACGATGGAAAGCAGCTGCTTTGTTTTTTTATTTATTTATTGGAAAAGCACATTAAAGCTGAGATACAACGTGAAAGACGACAACACAGCACTTACTATGACAATCCGCAGCAGTTTTAATTTAGTTTATTGCCGCCATCTAGTGGCTTTTTACAAAATTGCACTATGGTGTCGCCTCTTGGTGATTCTAGCCTCTTTGCCTGGGATCGATGCAACCGGAAGTTAACAAAAAAATTTTATTCACATAATTTATAAAATTTCCCATTAATTTTATTTTATTAACGTCTACCCTAACCATAAACTCCGTCACAGTACTGCAAAAACATTGATTATTGTTATACATAGTGTCATAAAAATGCTGATAGTGATGTCATATCGCACTTCCGGCCTACCAAAGAGCTTGGAATTAATTGATGATATGCTCTTTCCCCTTACTCATCTACTTTTGTTGTTGTCGCTCCCAACCCGTGTTGATGCGTAACGTTAACTGTAAAAGACATTTAAACTACAACCCTGGCAATGAAGAATGTATTTTTCCATTGTGTATTACTGTTTACCATGCACAGTAAGTAAACGATTTTACTTTATTTTCGGTTTCACTTTATATTGTTATTATTGGTAGCCATTGTTGGTTTAATGTCATCTTTATATATTCTCTGCAGTACAGGGATAAACCTATGTATTTGTAATTCTAAGTCCAAACTCAGTTCTTGAGCGACGGTGTTTAGCTCCAACCCTAAACACACCTGAACCAGCTGATCAAGCTTACTAGATATTGTAGAAACTTCCTGGCAGGTGTGTTAAACATAAAGGGAATACCAAACAGGGGTCCGTTTTTGTACCTCGCTTAAATGATCTAAGTTGATTTGGCAGATCCGGGATCTTTTAATCTTGATAACTGATCTCTCGCTATAATTTCCCTTACAAAAATAGCCTACAGAAATCCTGCAGGGATTTCATACAGGTATCCTACAGGATTTTCAGCTCATTTTCCTGTAGAAATACCTGCAGGAATTTTGTGAAGGAAATTTTAAGAAAGAAATTTATGCAGGGATTGTTCCTGCAGGAATTACAATCCTACAGGTCTATTAAAATATACAGTTCCTGTAGGATTATTGTGCAGGATAGATATGAAGTTAGAGAAATTTCACAATGAATCAATGTATTTTCACAAATTATTTATTAAAATTGTAAAAAAATATATATATATAAATAAAAAGTAGACCAGAATCCAATGAACAGGCTGCGTTTACTCCATTTTCCTAAAAAAATAAAATAAAAAAAAGTGTCCTGTAAGTGGTAGAGTATACAGAATACAGTCTGTACAGTATAAAAACCATTACAGCTATGAAGAATCCCCATAAACAACCAATGGACCCTTTTCACAAGACTGTTATGATGTGTTGTTAAAGATCATCTGCATCCTAAATACCTTAAAGTTTTTAATATTTAGATTTTTTAAACTTATGTACATTTACATTCATTTATGTATAATACAATCTTTATGTCAAATTAAAAAAAAACAATGCGATGAGTATCTAATGAAGTGTCTATGGGGACAGGACAGTAAATTTGACATTGTTTTCTGTAGCAAATAGAATTGTAAAAAATTTTTTTTAAAAAAGTCGTAGTACTCTCTCATTCACTGCGCTTGGAGTTTACCAACTATGATGATTTCTGCTGCTAAAAAACACGCAAATGTGAAAAGGGTCCATACAAGTGTGAGCGTGTGTGTGTGCGTGCGTGCACAAATGATTACCTTACTTGTAACTTGTGCTCATCATTTACTTTTTCTTTTACTGCTGCTCTGATAAATTTTATTGGTACGTTTGGAAACTTCTTCTGTACTACGTCTGTAAATTCCCCTCTTCTGAATATCCTCTTCCTGAGAGTTTCTTTGTTCTCTAAAGAGAAATAGATAAAGTTGAAAATACTTATCTTCAATCATGATAAAGCATGGGCAGGATTTAAGTTTCTGTTGGTATGATAACCTTGGATAAAATATCACAATATTGTGATTACTGCTCTAAAATAAGTTATTTTGAAGTTATAAACATCTGAGTAAAAAACAACAACTTAAACACATTATATTTTAGGAAAGATTTTAAAAATTTTGGAACGGCAAACATGTCAGGTTAAATAATTAAAATAAATCATTGACTGCTGCTGTCGTTATTAGTTTCAAAAACACAGATTTCTTTACAACACATAAAAAACCTTTACAAATACCTTGGAAACGGTATAGCAGAAAATATTGGTGGTTATAAAACCGTGACTTTTCCAAACAGGCATAAACCTTGAAACCGGTTATTGTCCAATGCCTACACATGATCACAAGTCTTGATGTTTGCTGTACCTTTTACCTTTAATGTCTAGAACTGTGGCTGGTGAACTTTCATCCTCATAGGCAACATCCACAACATCCCCAGGTTCAAATTTGTTTTTCAGTAGGTTCTTTTTAGAAACAATAATGTCATAGGTCGATGGTTCCTTCCTCCATTCCACTAACGTTAGGACTCATGTTTTGCCCATTTTCTAGGATAGATAAATATATAGACATAAATAAACACACACAAATGCACACAATTAATTCTGATGGCTACAGCTGACTGTATCCATGACAACAGTTTTACCTTAATGTAGCCTACCAGCAGGCCCGGATTAAGAACTCAGGGGCCCCTGGGCACATTATCTTGTAAGGCCCCCTACCTGGCCGCACCCCTATAGTTAAATTAAAAAAATAAGAATAATATAATAATTTTTAAATAAAATGAATCTATAATTTGTTGCCCACATATTTAAATAAATGATATATAGTACATATGTATTTATAGTCTGCAAAGATTTAAATTATTTTTCAAAGCATTAAATAAAAATACTAATAAAACTACATATATATATATATATATATATATATATATATATATATATATATATATATATATATATATATATATATATATATATATATATATATATATATATATATATATATATATATATATATATATATATATATAAAGAGAGAGAGACAGATAAAAAAAAAAGAGTGAGTGTGTGTCTCTCTCTCTCTCTGTGTGTTTTTTTTTTTGTGTGTGAGAGAGGGGGATAGAGATATAAATATAAAAAAAAAAAAAAACAAACACAAAAACTCTCACACCCTCTCTCTCTCTCTGTCTGTGTCTCTCTCTCTCTCTCTCTCTCTCTCTCTCTCTCTCTCTCTCTCTCTCTCTCTCTATCACTCTCGCGCGGGGGGGGGGGGGGGGCGCGCTGGGTGTCGGGAGAGAGAGAGGGATAAAAAAAAAAGAGAGAGAGTGTGTGTGTGCGCGCGCGCTCGCGCGCGCGCGTGTGTGTGGAGGGAGGGAGTGTGGGGAAAAGGTATATAAAGATATGCGCACCCCTCTCTCGCGCGCGCGAGAGAGAGAGAGAGATATGTATGTATTTGCGCTGAGAGAGAGAGAGAGAGACACACACGCGCGCGCGCGCGCGCGGGCGAGAGAGAGAGAGAGAGATGCGCGCGCGC